TTTATAATGGTAACCACATGCCAAATATTCAGAACCGTTGTATATAACAAAACAAGAAGGACCAGAGGGAAAACCCACAAAATCCAGCCAAAATGAAGAAAACAAAAGCACAAGAACAAGGAAGCAATGGAAACACTAAGCTACCAGAAAGCAAAAGATAAAATGGCTATAAGAAGACCTTATATTTCAATAATCACCCTAAATGTAAATGGACTGAACTCACCAATAAAAAGCCACAGAGTTGCAGAATAGAGCAAAAATCAAAACCCAACCATATGCTGCCTCCAGGAGATACATCTCAGTTCCAAAGACAAATATAGATTCAAAGTGATATTTCAAGCAAATGGCATTCAGAGAAAAGTGGGAGTAACAGTACTAATATCAAATGAAATAGACTTCAAAATAAAAAATGTAAAGAAAGATACTGAGGGACACTTCATAATGATAAAGAGAATCACGCACCAAGAAGACAGAACACTTATTAATATATATGCTCCCAATCAGAGAGCCCCGAAATATATAAAGCAATTACTAACAGAACTAACGGGAGAAACAGACCAAAACACTATCATAGTAGGGGACCTAAACACCCCACTGTCAGATATGGATAGATCATCCAAACAGAAAATCAATAAGGAAATAACATCTTTAAATAATACATTACATCAACTGGACATAATTGTTGTTTACAGAGCCTTTCATTCCAAAACATCTGTTTATACATTCTTCTCTAGTGCACAGGGAACATTCTCAAGGATTGACCACATACTGGGACGCAGAGGTAGCCTCAACAAATATAAAAGGGTTGAAATCATCCCAACCATATTCTCTGATCATAATGCTTTGAAACTAGAGATCAACTATAAAAAGAAAGCAGGAAGAACCACAAATACATGCAGATTAAACAACATGCTACTGAAGAATAACTGGGTCAGAGAAGAAATAAAAAGAGAGATCAAGAGATACATAGAAATGAATGAAAATGATAGTACAACATATCAAAACTTTTGGGACACAGCAAAAGTGGTCATAAGAGGAAAGTTCATATCATTACAAGCCTATCTCCCAAAACAAGAATGATCCCAAATAAACAACCTAACACTTCATCTTAAAAAACTAGAAAAGAAAGAACAAATGAGCCCTAAAGTCAGCAAAAGGAAAGAAAACTAGAGCAGAAATTAATTAAGTTGAAAACAAAAACAATAGAAAAAATTAATGCAACAAAGAGTTCTTTGAGAAGATTAATAAAATTGAGTCTCCCTGGTTAGACTCACTAAAGAAAAAAGGAAAAAAACCACAAATAAACAAAATCAGGGATGAAAGAGGAAAAATTATGACAGATACTGCAGAAATAAAAAGGATTGTACAAGAATACTATGAAAAAAAAAGTATATAACACTAAATTTAATAACCTAGAAGAAATGGACCAGTATTTAGAAAAATACAACCTTCCTAGACCGAATCAAGAACTGGAAAATCTAAATAGACTGATCAGCAGTATGGAAATTTAAACAATCATCAAAAACCTACCAAAAAGTAAAAGTCCAGGACCAGATGGCTTCATCTTCCTAGACTGAATCAAGAAGAACTGGAAAATCTAAATAGACCAATCAGCAGTATGGAAATTTAAACAATCATCAAAAACCTACCAAAAAGCAAAAATTCCAGGACCAGATGGCTTCACCAGTGAATTCTACCAGTATGCAAAGAAGATTTAACTCTTTCTAATTTCTATGGTAGATTTTCTAATTCTACCAAGTATGCAAAGAAGATCAAACTCTTCCAAAAAAATCGAAAAGGAGGCAATACTTCCCAACTCATTTTATGAGGCCAATACTACTCTAATACCAAAACCTGGTAAAGATAACACACAGAAAGAAAACTACAGACCAATATCTCTCATGAACACAGATGCAAAAATCCTAAATAAGATACTAGCGAAGCGAATACAGCAACATATTAAAAAGATTATACACCAGATCAAGAGGTGTATAATCCCAGAGACACAGGGATAGTTCAACATACACAAATCGATTAATGTGATACATCACATAAACAAATTAAAAAATAAGAATCATATGATCATATCAATAGATGCAGAAAAAGCCTTCGACAA